CCATATAAATAGAACTAACATGGGGCAAAGTTATGATAACTTCTTACCCACAGTCAGCCACCCTGAGGGAGAGAGTTGTTAGACCTGTGGGCTTGGGACCATGGTCGCTGGGGATGTTAAGTTCAATTGGCATAATATTGTACACAAAAACATTATTCTACATCCTACTTTGGTGAGTAGTGACTGAGGTCTTCAAAGCTTACAAGTGGACATCTAGATGCAACAATGGGTCTTTCCTCATCCAGAGCAAAGAAAAATGAGGAAAATCAAAGACATATGGAAACAACTAGTCCAAGGGACTAGTGGACCATGCGAACCTCAGCCTACGTGATCCTAAGACCAGAAAAATTAGATGGTGACCAGCTACCACTGTCAACCACTCAGAAAGGGATCAGTGCAGGAGACCCTGGATAGAGTGGGAGAACAATGTGGAACAAAACTCAAAATCATAGAAAAGACCAGGCTTACTGGTCTCATAGAGACTGAGAGACCCCTGAGACTATGGCTCCTAGTCACCCTTCAGTCCTGGAATTGAACTCAATCCTGTGGCTTCCAGCCAAACAAGAGACAGGCATATGGGGTGAACATTTACACCAGGTAGGGACACTCCTTAGAACAATCAACCATGGGAGACCAGAAGGGCAGTATTTGCACAGGGAGACAGCTCAGGGGGCAAGAGTGCATAGGAAAGAAGGACACAGGGAAGAGGTGACTACAGGGAGGAGGAGGAAGAGAGCTGTTACATCGTGGGGATTGCAGTCAATGTCATGAGACAAAATGTGTATGAACTGCTGTGTGGAAAATGAATTGGCTCTGTAAACTTTCACCCAAATCACAATAAAAAAAAAAATCCATATATGTAATAGAGGTAATGGGACAAAATGAAGATAACTTCTTATCTGCAGCCAAACACCCTGGGGGAGTAAGTCACTGGGCCCAGGGGTCTTAAAAGCTTGCAACTGCCCATCTAAGATACAACAATCAGCGTCTTCTCATCCAGAGCAAAGAAGAATGAAGAAAATCAAAGACACATAGAAACAGCCCAAAGGACTAGTGGACCATGCAATCCTCAGCCTACAGGACCCTGAGACCAGAAGAACTAGATGGTGCCCAACTACCATTGTCAACCACTCGGAAAGATATCAGAGCAGGAAATACTGGATAGAGTGGGAACAATGTGGAACAAAACTCAAAATCATAACAAAGACCAGGCTTACTAGTCTGATATAGACTGGTGAAACCTCCAAGATTATGGCCCCTAGTCACCCTTTAGGCCTAAAATTGAACTCACTCCTGTGGCTTCCAGCCAAACAATAGACAGGCCTACAAGGTGAACATTTGCACCAGGTAGATGCACTCCTTAAAACGATCAACCATGGGAGATCAGAAGGGCAGTTTGCACGGGGAGACAGCTCAGAGGGCAGCGATACATAGGAAAGAAGGACACAGGGAGAGGGAAATAGGGAGGAAGCAGGAAGAGAGCTGCTGCATTGTGCGGCCTGCAGTCAACATCATGAAACAAAGTGTGTATGAGCTGCTGTATACAAAATGAATTTGCCCTTTCAACTTTCACCCAAATTGCAATTTGGGGGGAAAAAAAAAAGATACTTTTATGAGGTGGCTCTAACCTGGGTGTCTCAGTGGGCTTCCTGGAGGAGGTGTCAGTGGAGCTGAGACCTGAGGGAGGTGAGGGAGCCAGTCATGCAAGGATGTGGGGGAGGGCATTCCAGGCAGAGGGCACAGTCTGTACAAAGGCCCTGGGGCAGGATGGTGCCTGGTGAGTTGGAGGAACAGCCAGGAGGTTCATGTGGCTGGATTGGAGTGAGCAAGGAGGAGCGGCGGACAGGGAGGGGAAAGGGCCTCTTGTGCAGGGCTAGAGGGCTGTGGGGAGTGCAGGACAGGTCCTGAGTCAAGTTTTCAAAAGACCATCAGCTTTGCAAGGGCAGGAATTTCTGTCCATCTTGATCACTGTTATAAACCTCCACCTAGACTGGTGCCTGGCACACAGTAGGTGCTCATGTTTACCGAGGGAATGAACAAATCAAAGCTCCACGGGGCTGGGGGTGGGGAAATTGCACATCACTAACCTCCCCTGCCACAGGTCACCCGGCCAGGTGGTGGCAGACCAGGGACGCAAACCCAGAGCCCGACAGCTGAGGCCCTGGCTTTTCTGAGGTCCCTGTGCGCCTGACTGCAGCCACCTGTTTCCTCTCCGGCCTCTGATTAATGGCCGTACAGCCCCATCCATCACGCGCCAGCACCCGGCTCTGCCCTGCAGGCCGTGGGGCCCAGCGCTCATTTGTAACCAGGCGGACGACGGTTCCAGACAGTTGGATATAGCAGACAGCTCCCCCTGCCACTCTCTGGCTCCCGACGTGGCCCTGAGAAGCCCAGAAAGAGGAAAGACTATGACGTGGACACGTGGGACAGGGAAGGGGTGTGTTGAATGCCAGCCACTCAGGTAGTCCCAGAACCACCCAACCAGTTGCTGCCAAGTTGATTCCGATTCATGGTGACCCGATGTGTGTCACAGTAGAACTGCCCTCCATAGGGTTCTCTCTCTCTCTCTCTCGTGTGTGTGTGTGTGTGTGTGTGTGTGTGTATGAAAATATACCCAAGAAGACCCTCACCAACTCACCAATTTCTGCACGTTCAGTTTGAGGACACTGGTGACATCCTTTCTCCAACCTTTCCCCAAACTCTCTCACCATCATTAACACAAACTCACCGCCCGCTAAGGTTCTCATCTAACCTTCAGAGTCGCTGTTGTCAGTTTGATCCCATAGAGAGAATTCTTTAAAAGCCTATGCTGCTTCATGCTGATGTTATTTTTCAATCAGACCCTGTTGGCGCAGCGGTTAAGCACTCTGTTGCCAACCGACACGTTAGCAGTTTGAACGCATCAGCTGCTTGGTGGGAGAAAAATGTGGCAGTCAGCTCCTAGAAAGATTTACAGCCTTGGAAACCCTATGGGGCAGTCCTACTCTGTCCCACAGGGTCACTATGAGTTGGAGTCGACTCTACAGCAACAGGTATTATTTGGTTCAAAGATGACTTTACAAAAAAAAAAAAAAACTCACTGCCATGGACTCAATTCCGACTCACAGCGACCCCCTTTAGGTTTCCGAGGCAGTAAATCTTTATGGAAGTGGATTGCCCAACCTTCCTTCCCAGGAGTGGCTGGTGGGTTTGAACCACCAACCTTCTGGTTAGCCTTAGGCACTACGCCACGAGAGCTCCTAACAGATGACTTTAGGAGATACTTTTAGTTCTAGGTTTAAAGATTTCCTCAGGGTAACAGTTTCAGGGGCTAATTTCCCTAATTAGATTGCCAGGCTTTTCTTCGGAGTGCCTCTCAAACCTTAGTGGATTCGAACCTCCACCCTTTTGGTCAGTAGCTGAACGTGTTAACCATTTGCAGCACCCAGAGACTCCCCTGAAATCTTAATTGTCCCCAAATTGCATAATCAGAGCCTCAGCTTTCAGTCCTCTCTCTCCCTCAGCCCACCTTTGCTTCTTTCAACTTCTTTCAAGAGGCCTGGGCCTCTCCAGCCTGGACCTTTGCTCTAGCATTACCCCTTGTCTCCGGCCCCCTGCCCCTCCTTCTTCCACTGTGTCTGCCAGCGGCTTTGAGCCCCCAGCCTGGCTGTGCCTCTGTGCTGCTTCAGCCCAGCAGTTCTCACCCAGGGCAATTCTGCACCCTCCACCAGGAGACACTTGGGGTGTAGTGGTTAAGACATTTGGCTGCTAACCAAAAGGTCCATGGTTTGAACCCACCAGCCGCTCTGTGGAAGAAAGATGAGGCAGCCTGCTTCTGAAAAGATTTACAGCCTTGGAAGCCCAATGGGTGTCACTATGAGTAGGAATCCACTCCATGACAGTGTGTGAGGAGACACTAAGGAGGCTTGGTGACACAGTGGTGAAGCATTCAGCTCCTAACCAAAACGTTGGACATTTGAATCCACCCGGAGGCAGCTCGGAAGAAAGGCCTAGTGATCAAATTTTGAAAAATCAGCTGTTAGAAACCCTGTGGAGTCTCTGAAACTATCATCCTGAAGAGAAACTTTAATCCTTGCATGCACCAGCCAACTCACTGGAGAAAAGACAATCTGGCAATCTGGTTTTCTAAGATTACAGCCTAGGAGGCCCTGATGAGGCAGTCCTACTCTGTCCTATATGGTCACCGTGAATTGGAATAGACTCAATGACAATGGCCTTGTACGAGGCACTTGAGGTCCGTAGGGGACACAAATGGTTAAGCGTTCTGCTACCAACCAAAACAGTGGTGGTTTGAACCCACTGAGGGGGCACACGGAAGGAAGGCCTAATGACCCTCTTCCATGAAGATCACAGCCAAGAAAATGCTATGGGGCAGGTCCGCTCTGTCACGTGGGGTCACTGTGAGTTGGAATTGACTTGGGAGATGCTTGTGGATGTTTGGAGACATGCTTGGTTGTCATGACATTGGGGATGCTTACAGGCATCACATGGGGGGGAGGCCAGGGATGCTGCTTAACACCCTACACCACACAGGATGTCCTCCCCCCAGAAGGATGCAGCCCAATGTCAACAGTGCTCAGGTTCTCAACCTGCTCTAGAACCTCCCATGGCTCCCCAGTGCTTCAGGGTAAAACCTCAACTCCTCAGCCCAGGATACAGAGCCTTGCACAGTAAGGGCTCCTGCTCCTCCTCAGCCAATATGGCCACCGCTCCCGCCTTCATGCCCACCTAGAAGGCCCGGGTAGTGCAGTCATCAGGGATTCAGGCACCAGCTGCCCATATGTTGCACAGCAGAACCGTGCTCATAGGGCTTCCATGGCTATCACTTTTCAGAAGCAGAACGCCAGGACTTTCATCCAAGGTGCCTCAGAGGTGGGTTTGAACTAGCAACATTTTGGTTAGATCCAAGTGCATAGCTGTTTGTGCTATTCAGGGAGCGCACAGGCTTAAATCCTGGCTCTGCCACCTGTGTGACTTTGGCCAAGTCACCTCTCTGTGCTTTGGGTTTCCCATCTCTAAAATGGGCACAATGGTGGCATCTAAGGGTTCAAGTGCTTAAGATAGAGTCCAGCACATGGTTAAAAAACCTACACATGTTGGATGGGCTATTATTACTCACAGTTTGGGCCACAAGTCTGAGCTTTTCTACACACTTGGAAAATGTTTTCTTCTGAAAATTGCGTCTTCAGAATTCTCCTTCTTCAAGGGCAAATTGTAGGCCCCTCCCTGCAGCCCTGACGGTGTCTGTGTCTGGCTGGGGGCTCCTAAGATGGGAATGCCCTATATCAGGAGGTGCCTGCCGACATGAAGATCAGATCCAAGTGGCCTCCCAGGAGAAAAGGGTCTGGTCAGCACTGTGGGGCTGGAGAAGGGGGCTTGAGGACAAGACCAGCTTCCTGTGTATGTGACCTGGAGGTCACCAAGGGCCCCGGGCTCAGAAAGGCCCCTTAAGTAGCTTTAATGCTCTGCTGTCACCATCCTAAGGTCTCTGGGTGACACAAATGGTTTTGGTGGGACCCACCCTCAAGTGCCACAGAAGAATGGCCTGCAATCTGCTGCCACAAAGATTTCCACCAAGAAAACCCTACGGAACAGTTCTTCTTTGTAACATAGGAGGTCGCCATGATTGGAATCAACTCAATAGCAACAGGTTTGGCTTCTGGTGTTTGTCACTATCTTGAATTTTTAATTTTTTAACAAGACACTGTGCATTTTCATTTAGCCCTGGGTCTGGCAAATACGGTAGCTGGCCCTAACCAGTAAGATTTACTAAAAAAAAAAAAAAAAGTCACTGCCATCAAGTCAAGTCCAACTCATAGCAACCCCCATTGGCTTTCTAAGGCAGTAAATCTTTACAGAAGTAGATCGCCCAATCTTCCTTCCACGGAGTTGCTGGTAGGTTTGAACTGCTAGCCTTCTGGTTAGCAGTCCAATGCCTTAGGCACTACACCCCCAGAGCTCCTTATGATTTACGAGGTATGCTTATTCCAGAACCTGACAAGAATATCAAAGAACTTTACAAAAGTTCATTTGGTTTTTCTTACAGTGTTGGGGCTAGGGCAACAGTGCACTCACACGACTCCAACCCTTGTCTCACCCGGATCCTGGCTCCCTAGGAACCTGTCTTGAAAATGTTGACATTTCTTTCATCATAGATTTTTTGCATTGATTTTTATTTTAAAAAAATATTGCATTATAGCATTATTTATCTTGATCACTGAGGTTTTTGTTTTGGAGTTTTCTGGGTGGAAGGAACCCCTTAAGTTTTGCCCACTCATGTAACCCTAGTCCTGGCCCCTTAACTACATGGGAAGGAGATTGGTTCTAATGCTCCACTTTACCAACGGGCACACTCAAGTCCCAAAGGAGTTCCATTCATCAGGAGGCCACTGACATAGATGATGATGATGATGATGATGATGAAGGAACCCTGTCTTTAGTACTTTCAGAAGTCAAGCTTAAGATACTCGTGTGGTGCAAATGGTCTGTACTCAATCAAAATGTTGGAGGGTCAAATCCACCTAGTGGGACTGCAGAAGAAAGGCCTGGCAGTCTGCTTCTGTAAAGATGACAGCCAGAAAAACCCTGTGGAGCTCGGCTCTCCTCTGCAACATGAGGTCGCCATGAATCAGAAGTGACTCAACGACAACAGGTTTGGTTTTTTGGTTTAGGGGCTGATCTTAGTGCGCATGTTATCTCAACAGCCTCTTCAGAGTCTGTTCATGTGGCAGTCAGAGGGATACTGTCCAAACCTGAGTCAAGTCCCCTCCCTCCCTTTCTCCTCTGCTCACCCTCCAGGGGTCCCACCTTCCTCCAAAACCAAAAATCCAAACCCACTACCATCGGGTTGATTCTGACTCCTAGTGACCCTATAGGACGGAGTAGAGCTACCTAGGATTTCCAAGGCTGTAATCTTTACAGAGGGAGCTCTGATAGCATAGCGCCTAAGGCACTTGACTGCTAACCAGAAGGCTGACGGTTCAAATCCACCAGCAACTCCTTGGAAGGAAGGCTGGACAATGTACTTTCGTAGTGATACTGCCTCGGAAACCCAAGGAGGGGTCGCTACGACTTGGGTCCGACTCGACAGCACATAACAACAACAACAACAATCTTTACAGAAGCTGACTGCCTCATCTTTCTCCCACAGAACAGCTGGTGGGTTTGAACCTGACTTTTTAGTTAGCAGCCCACTGCTTTAACACTGTGCCACAAGAGCTCCTCCCCCTCCCTTGGGTGGGGGTAAAGTCCAAGTCTCCCCTGTGGCCCACAAGGCCCTGGGTCATCTAACTCCCCGCCTTCACCTCCCCTTAAAACCCGCTACAGAGTTTGCCAGGGCCCAATGCACTCAGCTGCTAATCAAAAGGTGGGTGGTTCTACCCCCCCAGCCACTCCATGGGAGAAAGACAAGGCAGTCTGCTTTTGTAAAGATACACAGCCTTGGAAACCCTATGGGGGAGTTCTACTCTGTGCTCTAGGGTCACTATGAGTCAGAATCAACTCCACGGCAACACATTTGGTTTGGAGTTTTTTGGAATGCAAAGTAAAACTGCAGATCCCATTGTTAGAAAAATTATTCAGAATTTGAAGACAGCCACAGCCAAGCATTAAACCAAGCCAAACCCTTCTGGACGTAACACCCTGTTAGACTGTGCAATGCTGGCATTCATCTCCTCCCATGCTCCCCCTGTGCCAGGCACAGTCTGCCTCAGGGCCTTTGCACTGGCTGTTCCTGCCTCCTTGAGTACATGCCATCCCTTTGGCCCTACTGGCTCGGTCCTTCTTCTTCTGATCTTTCTCAAAAGCCCCCTTCTCAGGAAGGCCCTCTCTGACCCCTCTTACAACCACCTGACCTGCTAGGGATGTGGCTTCCTTTCTGTCTCACAGCATCTCCATGAGTCATTTGTCCCCACCTCACAGCCTGGAGCATGGCATGGCACAGTTGTCTGTGCCCTCAAGTGGATTTTTGACTCACGGTGACCACCAAAAGGTTTCCTAGGCTGTGATCTCTACAGGAGCAGACAGCCAGGCCTTTCTCCTCCAAAGCAGCTGGGTAAGTTCCAATCGCCAGGCTTTAACCGCTGCGCCACCAGGGTTCCTTGGCACACAGTAGGCACTCCAAAAATGTTCACTTAAGTAATGACTCTTCTGAGGCGCGTAGGATACCCACTGCCTTTTCACAGCCAAGGAAACTGAGGCTCAGCGGCACCAGCCACCTGCCAAGGTCACAGAGCATGTGGGTGGCACGCGTCCAGGGCGCGCCATTATAAGGCAGGCAGAGTAGACCCTGCAGCCTGGCCCTTTCCTCTGAATCACGGGGAAACTGAGGCCCGGCCAGTGGCCACGGCCCGGGGGCTAGGAAGGGGCGGGGGGCTGAGGCCGAGCCCA